TTGGAGGCTCGCCCCTAGGGCTAGGCGTACGCCGCTTGTCCTGCTCCCGATTCCTGGGAGAGTACCTGTCCCTTCGATGAGGACTTGGGGTATTACCGGTCCTCTTCCTCGGATCGCTAGGAGGCCGACTCGGCCTATGGGAATCTCCAAACGGAGATCGTCTCCGGACGGGAGGACCAGGAGCACCAGGTTTCTGGGCTCTGTCCCTGGACTGAGATCGTTCGTAAAAGTCCTTGTGCATATTGACCTGATTCTTACGAACCCTCCAGCGGTCAATTTCGTTCTTGCAACGAGCACGAAGCCATTCATAGCTACAAACATCAGGGTTGGATATGTTCCTATCCCATTCCCTGATATCATGAGCCAAACAGTTGAGGTGTCTAACCTTTTCACTGAATAGCGACCGCTTTACCTGCTCGGTCAGCGGTTCATCGAGACCCGCAAGGATATGATCCCACTTCGCGATGAACCTTTCAAGTCGCTCCTCTTCAGTATAGAAAGATGAAACACTGCATCGCAAGTTTGAGAGCTCGATTATCCTGAATGATTGCTCTCCGATATTTGCAGTCCTTAAGTGGTCGTATAAGAGCCACAGGATCTGCCTACTCTTGATGCGATTGTTGGAACGTTGAGCGGCTTCGGTGAGACGATTAATCTTATCGATAATTGCAACAGTCTTGATGCACTTCCGAATGGCTGCATTGAACCTGGCTTCAAGGATGTGGTATTTACATTCCCCATCCAGTTCATCAAAGGTCTTTGCCTTCTCGACTTCAGTTAGCCAATTGATGACGTAAAGTCCATCATAGCTGTAGGCATTGCTAACAGCTTCCTTCATATTGGCTATCCATACCCTCAGCCCAGCCGCGTCGGGCTCTGGCGGGAGGTCTATGGGAATGCACTTAGTCGCAGCTGTACAGTTCGGATCATGGTGGCTACTGTACCCGCCGCCACCAGTTCCGAAAAGATGCTGTGGAACCTGAGAACTACCGATTGATAATGCACATACAGGACAAAGGCGAGTAGCCTTCGGAATGCAAATCTCACATGCCCTTTTCATGCATATCTTACATTCCTCAATTTTGCTGGGGTCAGGAATATCCCGATCACACATCCGACATTTCTTGTCAGGAGGATCGGGGCCACGCATGGTCGGCGGCTCAAGGCCTGAAGGATCCTTTGGCCTTGTACTGTTGGGATCAAATCCTGGATAATATCCGGTTTCACGTTTATCCAGGGGCACGGGTTGCGTAGCCTTCGGAGGACTCTGAAGGTCAGCCGCGTTGGGTTGACCCCCAGTTGGGGTGTCACGGAATCTGTCAACGGGTGGCCGCAGAGGCGGCGAGAACGACCGCGTCGGGTTCGCCTCAGGTACGCCCCCAGGCGACCTATTCCTGACACGGTTACCATCGGGATCCCTTCTTCTCCTAGTTTCGTCCCTTAGGCACGCAAGACAACAGGGACCCTGGACAAATCCAAATCTCCTGTAGTCGTCCTGCCCAGCAGAATGTCTGGTGCAGTAGTAGGTCTTACAAAACTGACACTCAATTCCCTTGGTCAGGAACGAGCTCTCCCTACAGACTCCGCATCGGGGCCCGTTACGGGAACATTCTTCGCACAGGTTCTCTTTAAATGAGAAGCAATACTCACAAATATCACCTCTGCATCCCTTGCAGTGAAACTCAGCCATGAGATGATTATATCCATCACCTATGTATTTACATCTGGGTTTACCAGGGTTGCCAGGGTTCCCACCGGCGGCACTCTTCTTCCCCCCTCCTCCTGGGCTTTGCCAATCTGGAGGAGGAGGTGGTGGAGGATCATCATCAGGAGGGCCAGGTGGAGGTGGCCGCTTATCCGGAGTACGGGATGCGGCACGCCTTCCTCCTGTGTGATCGTTCAATCCACTGCCTGAGGCCTGGTTCGAGTGCCTTGACTCTAGGGAGTTAATTCTCTGGGCTGTATTACCCAGCACCTCGAGCATTTGCTCGAGCTTACTGTTGAGCGTAGTCGAAACGGCCATGTTATGAGTATTTTGCTTGTCCGTGTAGGATTTGCAGTCCCTTGACTTTATCTCAAGGTTGGCTTGTGTCTCATAAAGTTGGTCTTTAACCCACCTTATGCCGTCCCTATCATTAGTCCAGCGTTGTTCGACATCTTGCATCATCCTATCAATCTGACATACCCTAGTGGACAGGTCCTCGATTTTGAGGTTTACTCCACCAATCGCAGGATGGTTGGATTGGCTCTCCACTAGAGATCTCTCGATCATATCAACACGAGCTATAAGCCCGGTTACACGATCAGAAAGAGATTCAAAAACAGTTTGAACCTGGGTGATGGAGCGAGCAACATCATCATAGCTGGCTCGCTCACTTAGGGCATCGCCCATGCTTATCATGCGATCGGCAACGATCTTGACGCGTTGGCCAAGCTCGGTCACGATGTCCTTACTCCCTTGTGATAGCTGCATGGCCGCGTTCGCAGCCTGCGTACACGTGCTACTCACATGGACACATTGTTCGTATTTGGCCCTCCACGAGTCGACCTCAGTGGAGAGCTGCTTGATGCATTGATCACTTCTATCATTCCTACGCCCAAGGTCTTCGACCTTAGCAACCAGGCGATGAATGATCGCACTTACCGAAGAATCCACCGTCCCTCTTTCAAGGGCTGTCACAAGATCAGCAACCTCGTTGGGTTGCTCCTCACTCGCAGGACCATATCCTGATCCGCGATCTCGAGGAGTGGACAAATCGACCATGATTGGATTAGATCTCGGAGGAGTTCTGAAATCATCCTGGACGGCCGTTGATGGCCGTGGGAACTCACTCCGATTAGGAGATTGACTCTGATACGGAGCAGACCTTCTTGCATCACGAACCGCAGAGGGTTGTGTCATGCCCAGGCCTTTGGCAACGGACAGCTTAGGAACAACAGGCCTATCCGTTCGCATAGGAACATCAGGTCTCGAGTCAGCAATAACAATGTCATTCAAGTCGGTCGCATTGGACACCCTAGACTCAGACATCGATTCAATATCAGTTCCATTACTGATGGTATGATTGCGACTAGAACTTGATGCCATCATGGACTCAGATTCTATCGGAACATTAGCTCCGTCCATATTGTCCAGAGCGAAAATGGAAGCCGCGTTGGGCGTAGGGTGAACACTTCGCATGTTCAAGCCACTAGACCTATTAAATTCCTCCTGGAATGCCTCGATCCCATCAAGCACGTTAACGAGTGTGTCCGCGTTTAACGGGTCTCTTCCAATGATTGACGCTGGGTCACCTGATCGGCCGCGTCCTGAGTCCCGCGCACTGGGGTTACCCCTGTGAGCAGTTTCCCGATCCATCCCCCTTGCCCTATGCGATCCAGTCGAATTTGACCTTGATCGTTTGCTTGGGGTTGGACTGGGATGCAAATCCAATCTATCTACGATATTACGCTCCCTAGGGCTCTCAAATCCCGAAAGTCCCGGGGGAGGAGACATGTTCCTCATGGTCGGGTTTACCGACGGTCTTGGCCTGACGTTGCGGCTGGCCACATCAGGATTGAGATTCTCAATCGACAAAGGTAGCATGAATTCATCACTTCCAGCAGCTCGTTTTGGGCTCTGGAAATGCGGGAAAGATGACGGGGCGGGTGGCCCTGGCATCCATGCGGCAAAATCCATACCAAAAATGTTTCCGTCGTTGGGCCATGAGGCTCTCCAATCGAGTCCACCGGATTCGGTCGGCAGATGAGCGTCAAATGCAACTCCACTGGATGTACCAGGTTCGGGATTACCGAGCGCTTGAAAAACTATACTGCTGGTTGGCACAGGTCTACTGCTACTTCGAGAGTCACGAAGCTCGGACTGACCAATATTCATCAGCTCCGGGAAAGATGAGGATTGAGCTCCAGGTGCAATACCGGGCTCGTCATCATCACGTCCTGAGACGGAATCATCATGGTCAGGACGATTAGCCCCATGACCCTGAGAGCGATTAGCTCTTGAGGCATTAGACGATAGCTCATCAGTGCGAGTAGCACTGGATCTTCCTGAAGGCATTGCTTCTGAAAAAGAGTGGTCCGACAAAAAGTCAGGACCGGAAAACATCGGCTGTCCGGGCACTTGGTCGTCATTCACAACGTCCAAGATTCCGGCCTGGCCGAGAACCCACTCATCGGTCACCACATGAGGTCCATCCTCGGTGATTCCCGCCATGAGTCCTACAGTAGCCTATGGAAAACGGCGCCTGCAGGGTTGTTATTAAATGGGGTTCGCGGTGCCAACCGAGGACGAATCCTACGGCTGATAACCTGCGAAAGGGTTTGAATCAGAGTTTCGGGATGGATAAAACAGGCCCTAACCCACCAACAAGAAGAGACCACCTTATCCCCCCCGGTCCAAAGGGCAAAGCGGTTGCCCTCGGCCGGCACAAACACGAACCAAAACAGGGTGCCAGTTGTAACAAGATAAAGAAGCCCAGCAGGGGCAGAGACAACCGAAAGCAAGCACAAAGCAGCAAACCAAGCAGGCAAACAAAGCAGCGCAGCGAGCAAGCAAAGCAAACCAAATGCGCACCGTTCCCAAACCCAAGTCCTGACCAATCACCAGCAACACCAACACCAACCAGGGGAGGGCCGCGGCACCTTTTGTCGCGGAGCTCGAGGTCGCCGTGTTGGGGCGCCGACGCAATTGCAAGCGGGTTCGCCGGAACGAAAAGCTTGAGCCAAATGGCGCATTGGCCATGGCAATAATCAAACATGCTATGATAAACGTACATGCCCCCAAAAACATTTTAGGGGAACCCTCCCAACCAAAAAGAAACGGTAACAGGGCACCTAGCTGGGGGACCTAGGTGTGGTTGGTTTCCCTTGAGCACATCCGAAAAGAGTACCAAGACTCCCCCTACAGCACTTGGGCCACTGGATGGTTTTGGAAACTGACCAAAAAACCGTCATTGGATTCGAAGCAAAACGGAAAAGTTGCGGCTCTCCAAGGCCGGATCTGAATTCCGAAGGTGCCATCGCGGTTGATGTGCAGGATCCGCCCCCGCATCCTGTGGCGATTCCAGATGGATTCGCGTCATTTCGGGGGGGGGGGGGGGGAAACCCGGGGCCGGACAAAACGTTGCCTGATTTCTTGGGAATAAAGCTTGGGATTCCCTTCAAAGGAAGCCACATTACTCCCTACTTTTGACGCACATCTTTATGGCTCGAAGATCTTTGCTTGCTTCCCTCGCAAAGCAGCCCGCGCCGACGCTCTCCTTGTTTTGGGATGCACCCACCCACAGTCACGGTCAAAACAGGCTTGAAGAATAGTGGTCAATGTCACGCAACTTAAATCCAAACGGCGAGTTCACATGTTTGATCGCTACGTGCGGTCATCCACGGCCCGTTTCCCTGGTCGATGGAGTTTGCACAGTGGGAATCTAGGCTCTTGTGAGCAAGTCCTGATTCGCTCCCAAATGTGCGCCATATTTTTCTATCAAAAACTCCCAACTTGGATTCAGGTTCCTTCTTTCTGTTTCGGCGTCCATTCAAAAAGCCCAACTGTTTGGGCCACTTGGGTTCCCCGGGCCCCAAGTTGAATCGGCCCGTATGACCCCCAGAAACTCGGAGCGTGAGGCAGTCATACGTCTGGCCAAAACATGAGAAATACGGTGGATGGTTGCGAAATCCATTTCGCACCACCTCGGAATCCCTGGAATGGTGCGATTCCCCTGTAAATACCAACAATGGGTTCTCATGGTTTCAAAGTGGTGCAGGATTTCGTCCATCCACAGTATTGATAGGTTCCCTTTAAAGCCAGTGAAAAATCGACGATACGTTGCTTGGAACACCCCGAGTACTTGGGGATAAGCCTCCCGCAAATTACAATCAGACCAAAAAGCAGGAATCTTTAGTTGCCCAAAGGACACACAAATAAAGGTTAACCTTTTGGGGCCACCACAAACATGCCAAAACAGGAGGCAAAAAGGTGAAAGGTCAGCTTTGGGCACATGAGAAAAGGAATGTTGCTAGAAATTCATGCGAAGGCATCGCTCGTCTAGGTATGCAGGTCTAACGGAATGGGACTTGCAACGCTGCGGATATGAGTCACTGACCTTTGTGGCAACAACAGTTTTTGTGATTTCCAGCGGCAACGTTTTATTGCTGTCTGAACAAGTGGCTACGTCTCCAATCACCCCTGATGCCTACACACATCCCCGGAAAGTAAACTGGTTGTGGGACCCAGCTCCATATTGCCAAGACTAGATTGTTTGGCTCACAGCTAAAACTAAATTGCAACTGCAACTCTGGTGTATTGGGAATGAGGATTAATGAACCTCTGGTTGATTGATAGTAGGTGTCCCCTTTTCGTGAAGGTTCATCATTCGTGGGGGGCACCCAATAAATACTGTGGATGGACGAAATCCATTGCACTCCACCTCACAAGCCATGGGAAACTATTTGCGTTTGGGAATCGAATCAGAAATCAGGGTTTCTGCACAGTGGTGCGAAATGGATTTCACCACCATCCACAGCAGGTCCATCAGTTCAAGATTCAATCAGTCCAGTGTTCACCACTCAGTGGTACCGTCACTGACTTGGGGAGCCAAGAGTCCATGGCCATGGGTTCATTGAGCGCTTTGCGGAAAGCGTTTTGCGCCTTGCGTTTTCCGTGGAAGACCCCTGATACCGTTGGATGGATAACAGCCCTATGGTTACTGGGACAAACCGTCTAACCGGTGCGAAGTGGAGCCTTAGTGTTTTGCGGAAAGCGTCGGGTTAGTTCATTCTGCTGCAACATGGATTTCGCAACCATCCACAGTAGGAAGGGCTTGTTCACATAGGTTAGGTGGCCTTTTGGAACAATAGATGGCCCTGGCAAATGGAATAAGCCACATCCACACCAGTGCCGTCTATTCTTAACCAAACTAAGCCAAAAAGGACACCTATGCTTGTGAATCCGGCCTTCCTTGGACCCTGAGCTTCCTACAACGGGTCTGGCAATGCAGCGGAGCGGCCAGGAGGCAGTGCCCTTCCAGCGCGCTGTGACCACGGTGCCCACCTCGGGAGGGACCAAGTTGTCTTGGAGCTTCGGTATATCGCTGTGAGGGATATATGGCTATGGGTCAAATGAGTCAAAACCCCGTACCCCCAGTGAACATCCCAATCCCCACAAAAATAGACTGAAATGATATACATATATATATATATATATACTGCCTTGCCAGCTTATGGTATATAAACATCCATACCTCCAAGACACCTGAAAATGCAAACTTGAAGGGAACACCTGCTTGTATGGGTTTTGGAGCTGGGGCTTGTGCACCGCTTGTAGGGATAGACATACCGCCTTACCAGCGATGGGTGGCACAGGTGTCCGTTTGGAATCCAGCAGTACGCCCAAGTGCATCCACGGGCCCTGATGCTCCAAGGACATTTGCAGGTATGTGTTTTGGAGGTATGGATGCTTATGTACAAATACAAGCTGGTAAGGCAACCCCCTTGTTCCAAGTTCCGTGGCATGGTGTTTGACCCGGAGATACCCGGAGAAATAAACCGCCTGTTTGTTAACAGAGGCGGTGTTTCTGGGTTTAGTGGGGATTCAAACCACTTTTGCAGGGGCCTCCCACTCCATATGTTAATGAAGTGGGGTTGATTCATCTGGGGTCAACATTTTTCCATACTTCCATAAGCAGGTAAGGCAGTATATCACATCCCCCCTGCTTTTTCTGCAGATATCCCATGCCTCCAAAACCACACACCTCAAAATGCCCCCCCAAACCCCAAACACCCCAACACCTCAACCCCCCCAACCCCAGCCGCGGCCTTCCGTCACCCATGGGCCCCCGGCAGAGAGCACCACGCGGCGCACCGGCGGCTTGCCCAGTGTGTCGCGAGACTCGCGGATCGGCTCTCCTGTGCCAAGCGACGGACGGGTGGGACGCTGAAACTTCGCAGATCCGTTCAGGCAAAAACACCCAAGAACCACCCGAGGAAACGGTACTTGTGTGGTTGTTTGAATTTAAAACGGGTAGAACCAGGGGAAACGCCTAGAACCACGGGATGCATCCGGTGCTGCTTGAATAAAGTGGGTTCAGAACCAGAATGGTTGCATGGGTGTTTACATCTCATTCCCATCTAATCTAGTGAGGGGAATGCTCCCTGACCAGTATAACACCACAATAAGCTGAACATCCTCTGGGCACTAAGACTTCAAACGTCTTGCCCGCCTTTACCCTGACCATTTAACTCTGCGTAAACCAAGGTTTGGGGGCACAAACAGCCTTCTAGGTGCAAACAACAAAAAGCATTTACGCTTGTATTCGGGGGGGTCTTGAAAGAGGCGGGTTTATTTAGCACCTGGGTTTTTGCAAGTCCATGGGGATTTGGTCGTTCGTCCAAGGCGTTATGTTGACCCAGTGTTGCTGAACCATGCGGGCTACCTCCCCCCCCCCAGCACAGCGACGGAGAATGATGAATGAGCCGGTGAAAGCTGAAAGCTAGGAAACTGAAAAGGGCAGCACAAGGCTTTCTTTGCGGTTTCGCCGAGAACCCATGGACTTTGGGCAATACAAGGAGCTACAAAACAGAAACCACGGTTTGGGCGCTGGCCATGCTTCAAGGGCCCTTCGAACAATGTCTGACCGAAGGGCTCTCTCAACAAAAGTGCCTCTTGATTTGGAAGCGGATCTTACCTTTTGGACATGGATCCAAACTGGGCGACCCTCCAAGGGTGGTCAAGTGGGATCAATTGGTTCTATCAGCAAGAACAAGAAAGTTTAAAAGACTTGTCGGTGCTTAGCAGGGAATGAGAAATGGAATGACCCCGAGAAGAACCATCCCTTACCGGTGGTTGCCTAGAAGAAACCAAAGTTTGCCTCGGTTGCTTTCTGCTCCTGTGCTTAAAGTTTAACTTTTAGTGACTTAATGGAAACCCGATTAGTTGGCTTAAAAAGCTAGTTTTTACATCCAAGCAAAATGCACCCTTCAGCTGCGTTCATTCCAATCCCGCAAGACAGAGAAAACCGCAGCCAAGTCTCGCGGAGGCTCACGTTGGGCTTGAGGCCTCCGAGGAAAACCCACCGCAGGGGACGTAAACCCGGGCTTTCTCTGCGTTGGGGGTTGGGGAGGGGGAGGGGACAACAGCCGAGTTTAAGTCCTGCGTCAAAAGAAAACGGAGCCCCGGTTGAGGCCATAGTAACATGTCTGTAAAAAGCCCGTGAAAAAAAACAAAACAACCTGTTTGAAACCATGTTGTAGCAAAAATGGAACCCTTTAAAACACCCAAGGGGTGGCAAACCGAAACCGGCAACCAACATTCAACCATCTTTGCCCCCCTGGCCAACCCCCGCTAACCAGTCACAGGGTTTCATGGTTGTACCAAGTGCCGATGGCGTGGATGGACTGCCCGTGAGTATTACTTGAACCATCACCTTATGGTTCTCTCTCAAAGGGAAACCAGGGCGAGCCAAACGCATCTGCGATGTCTTGGCCAACCCTAGCCAGGGTACAGGACTGTGAGACCAAGAGAATGACTCACTCCTGAGCGAGCGGGTTGGCCAGAAAAGAATCACCACACGGTTTGTCTAAGCCACGAGAATGGCCTGGCCCAAGCCCAACTGACGATCAAGTCCAGGAGCGGGAGTGGATCCCATTTCCTGATGTTTCCGAACCTCCGTCCAACCTCTTAGGGGTCAACCAGGGGTGGGCACCCGCCCCAGTTGAGCCCTGAGACAGGCACTCAAACATGAGTCTTTCAAAATGATATGTGGCATCGTGTCCGAAGGTGAGATTGATGGCCCTTTGGCGTTGGCAGGGTCGTTTGGAGGTGTGATGGTCCCATATTGCTTGCATTATCATCTCGGGGACACGCACTTGCATAACCTCCACACCTACCCCCCCCCCCCCATCTGAACATGGTGCAATGCTGCAGAGCTTGACGGTCAAAAACGCTGACCTTTTGCTCGCTAACTGCTTCAAGGCGGTCCTAAACCCAGGAGTGGTAGGAAATACTAACTCGCACGAAACGCCAAACAGAAATGGGGAGATGGACTGGCGTCATGTAGCCATGGACACTTCGCGTGGGTTTCTGTTTGTTTGCTGGAAAACTTAAACGTGCTGATGGACAAATTTCACTTCGCACCAGTTGGGACGGATGAAGCCCTGCAACAACTGGGACAAGGGGTGCCGTCAGGAGGAAATTGATCTTTGGGGTACCTGCCACACTTGCCTCAAACCAATCCAAATCACCAAAGGGTTGATTGACATGACTACTTGACGAGTTTACCAATTTGGGATATTCTGTTCATTCACTGTGGCCATGAGAAAAAGATCCGATACCCTGTTGACTGCTTGGCTAAGCGGAAGCCCGCTCCAAAACAAGAAAAACATGGCACCACCGGTTGCTGGGAGTGTCGCAGACTGCCCGAACAAACCAACAAACGTGGCTTTTCACAAAACAACATGTTCCCGGGTGCAGTCCTGTCCTGCGACGGATCCGATTAGGAACCCCTGCACAGATTCGGATTTCCGCGCGCTTTGCGCTTCTCCGTCACTCGACACCTGGCCGAAAACACAAGAAACAACAAAGAGATGCAGATCACGCTCAAATCGAGCGGGGCAAAAGTCCAAACTTGTTGTTTGGCACTAACCTGGTCCAACCCCAAGTGACCAAAGTCCAGGAACTCACCAAGTGAGCCACCTGAAACCGGCAACCAAAAATTGATGGGCAGGTGCAAACCCGCCCAAGATAAAATATGGGGGACCCTGCTGAAAGAGCGTTGAACAGTTGCTAATGAGCGCGACAACTGGCGGAACCTTCAGTTGGGGCAACCGACGAAAATAACTATTTTTACCTGGTGAGATTCAGCTGTTGGGACCCAAACACATTTGCGGGGTTCCGTACAAAATACGCTCTCACATATCAATATGAAAACAAGAAGAATTGCCTGAACAACACATTCGCAAACAACATGTGCGCAAAGGAAGGAAAGGCAAAAGAAGGAAGCAAGCGAGCAAGCAAGCAAGGAAGGATGTCAGTTCTTCTGTAATGGTCCAATCCGCTTTTACATCCTGCAAGCTGAAATCATGCCCAGTCAGACCAAGGAGTGAAATTCATTCAACCACCTCATCGATCGGTGGGGATGACTGAAGCTCAATTTGGAGACCTTTCGGCTCTCTTAGGCGGTGCATTTCGCCCACACGGAGTGCCAAAGGCCTGACACAAAACACTCCTCCCTCTGGCCCCCCACGGGCATCGAATGGACCTGTCTGTTTCGACCGAGGCCGATTTGTTCCGGTTGCGGCGCGAATGGAAAAGAAACAAGTGAATCACAATCAACAATGTGCAGCAAAAAGTTCTACCCAAAACAACGTGAACCATGTATATGCATATATATATATAAGATCAGCCGCACCTTTCTTGTTGGGTTCGGACTGTCCCTTGCCAACCTGCCACCCGGGATTTGATTGTGGCTCAAGTGAATGCAGCAAGTTTAGGGTCCTGACACCCTTTCTGTATGAAAGATCCATTTCTTTCCACTTTGCTTCTTGTCCAAATCGGGTCATCCCAAGGTTGCTGTTGGCCCTAGACTTGGTCCATGTGTTTTCAATCTTATGGTCCACAAGTCCTCAAGTTCGACCTAGCAACCCGCCACGCGCGCGAACCCGCTCCCTTTTGGCCGAAGCATGGTGATGCATCGGTCAGGAAGCCTGAGCCGATGCGACTGCCATCGACAGCCTGATCTCCGAAAACCGGCTTTCCCTTCCTGGCTTGTTGAACACATCTTGCTTTGTTTTTTTTGGGGGGTTAGGATTTCGGGAAAACTTCTGGGCGAGCGCTTCACAATATGTCAAAAAAGACCATGGAAAAGCGCACATCGCGCAAATCTTGGCACCCCAGTTTCCTCAGCCAAGAGTGATGGATAGCACAACTTTTCGGATGGATTGGAATTTCTGGACCTCAGCAATGCCCGGCTCAAGCCGCACTCGAAATAGTCGCACTCACATTACTTCCGCCAAACTTGAGAGAAGCCAACCAATTTGTTTAATGAACCTACGAGAGAAGGCTATGGAAGTGGGCTAGCCTTGGACAAGCCTGGAATAAGCCAAGGATAAGGCTTAGTAGGGGATGCTGTGCATGAAACAAATTCTGCACCAGTTGGGATGGATGAAGCCAACTAAATGTTTGGGGCATACCACATATCAAACTGATGTGAGGCGGCAGGTGCCCAGGTGCCATCCATTTCAGCAGCCTCAGCTGTGCAGCCGAGCAGCGTTGAGGACAAAGTTGCAGCCACATACTTGCAGTTGCCGTCCCAGTCTCCTATGAGTGCTTCCAGTTCGCTCAATGTGCCACAATGAACATACTGTTGATGGACGAAACCCTGCTCCACCTCAGAAGCTATGGGATTTTTCCCCATAATTCCAGGGCTTGTTTGGTGGCTAGGTCCTCCAATAGAGAGCTTAGAACAAGGGTACCGTTTCTGTTTTCTGTAGTCTATTGTAGTAGGCGGAACCCTCCCAACCAAAAAGTTGAAAGGGGGTTGGAAGGGCACCAATTGCTGGGGGACCTATGCGAAATGGACTTCGTCCATCCACAGCATGAGTCGCCGCTCTCCGACAGCGCCTGGCGCATCTTCGCAGGCCGCCACTGCCGCGCACAGCGCCTGAAAGGGGCGGCAGATCGGATGATCGAAGGCCCCGCAGTTCTTTTTTTGGGGGGGCGCCACAGGGAAAGGAAGAAGAGAGCAATGCGGCACTCGGCCTTGGTGGCTGAGCTTTCTCACTGGTTCAAAGCAACACCTGTAGGAAAAACAACGCTTGCCCGCCCACCCTTTTCACATGGAATCGTTCAGCCCGACGTTTCGGGGGTCCTGGAAGACAATGTTCCTCGTTTAAAGGGACTGGGTCCACGATAATTGGTGGTAGGGGAAGAAAACACGCAGGAAGTACAAGTGCACAGAAAAATATAGATACCATTGAACCGGAACACGAGCAAGTGCAGCCTGAATCCCATTCAAACATTGGACATGCAACAAAAAGATATAACCCGTCCACGGAAAACATTCGGACAATGCACAGGAAGAAGGGGAAGAAATCCCGCAGTCGCACAGGTATCTGGAAACCACAAACGTGCAAATTACATGTCATACCGCTCTAAAACACATACAAAACAAAACACCTGCTCACTAAGACCCAAAGGACAAACCAAATCATAACCAAAAACGAGCTTCATCAACCAAAGCAAAAAGAGAAACAAACAACATAAGCAGGACAACAGAAAAAACCCGCCCAGCCCCTTATCAACTATTGCAGCACCTAGGCAGGAATATTATTAATTTCCTCAAGGCAACCCGGGTAAAACATGTCAACATCAAGTTGGCATTTCCAGGTATGGTTTTTGCAAGTATGGAAGCGATATGTGTACATATATCTAGAGAGATGTATCCATATACCACTACAAGGCGTTCATGCTTGACATGCCTGTACCTGAATATACATGCAATATGCATATATATATATATATAGACAAATACAAATACATAAACATAAATACGCAGCCATACCTCCAAAAGCCGTACCCTCACACGCGTTCCACGTGAACAGCGACGGTACTCCTCCGCGCCTCCGCCGACGCGCCCGCGTCCTGCGCCCAGGCCACGGCGTTTTGCCAGGCGCTGACACAAGCCGCGGACTTCGCCAGGGAGGTGAAGATGAGAGGCCCTCGGCTTGGCAACGCAAATCTAAGGGTTTTTGTATTACACCCTGGGAATACACCTGGGTATTGACCCCACATTTCCAGATAGAACCGGGCTATGTTGGAACCATTCTGGGTCATTTCCCAAGGGTGTAATCCCAGGGTGTAATACAAAAAAACCTCAGAACAAACGAGCTAATCACAATAGCTCCTCCAAGTCCTCCTGTTTCTTTTTTCTGTAGTCTATTTTAGTGGGGGAACCCTCCCAAACAAAAAGGTTGGTGAGAAGGGCACCTAGCTGGGGGACCTAGATATGGCCATGGGTCAAAATCCAAATCGTACCGCCAGTGAACATCCCAATCCAACCACTAAAGTAGGTTCTAAATGGGTGGTGCACCTACCCGAAAATGGTATCATTGGTTTTGACCCACGGCCAAATGAGCTGACGCTTGAGCGGGTTGCCCACAGAGAGGTCTGAAATCTTTGTTTACCACCGACATTAAGGACACTAGCATATATTCATTTGAGTCGTAATCAAAAGCCGCGATTAAAACGGTCTACCCAGATCCATGTAAAGAATTAAGAAGGCGGCCGCAGCTATTTATGGCTCGGATTGTCCCTTACATATCTTCACCTACCCAGGTTTCGATTGTGGCTGAAATGAGCTGACGCTTGGCTGAGTGAGTTGCCCACAAAGAGGTCTGAAATGCTTGTTTACCACCGACATTAGGGAAACTAACGCATATTCATTTCAGCAAAGGGGTTGGGGCACTCCTTCCACACATTGACTCACTTCATTGCAACTTTTACTCACCGAGCGAGTGGGTTCACGGACTCGGGGCTCCCAGCAAAAAATCCTACATTACTACATCACCCTAAAGGAAACTCACCTCACATTGGCTGAAAAAAGTCTACTAGTTCGTGGCTTTCTCTTGGTTGCCCTTGCAACCGACCAGAAAGGGTACCCTCCAACAAAGACACCCACACACATGCCTGCTCTGAGTGCACACGCATGCGTCTTTCAAACAAAACAAACAACGCCTTCACATCGCTGCGGGCGCCACAGCAACGACAAGACCTTCGGACTGGGTGCCAATAGTCCGGCGAAGATTTCCGCAGGAGACCAAAAGGCAGAAGGGGAGTCTTTGTGAGCTGCGTGCAGGGAAGGCGATCGATCCTTTCAGTTTGCACCATGTCTTTTTCCACGAATGGTAGACTTTGCCTGGGGGTGTATTCGGAAATGACCCAAAATAGACTAAAAGAAACGCGCCTGCCATCAACTGGAAGCTTATGCGAGTTTCTGGACAACTAGTAAAACGCTTCAGGGCTGATCGGGGAGAAACCTTGGGATCTTGATCGGGGGTTGCACAGAGTAAACAAATCACCGCAATACCAACCCTTGTAAAGCAGGTGGTTCCTGAATGTATCCCTCAAGGACCCCTGTTCAACTCGAGCAACGCCCAAAACCCAGTCACCTCTTGGTTCTATGATGTGGCTTCTGGGTTTGTTCCGTGGGTAGAACCTCCCAACATGGCCAAGCTGAGGGTTTTCGGCGCTCACCGCCCCCCCCTTGGCACCGAATCGGTCGGTCGGTCGGTCTGGGTCTGCCTGGCTCCAAGGACCGCTGCAGCACGCGGAGCGCTGCCTGGGCGCCCAACCAGCTGGAGCACTTGCCGCAGCAAGTGGCCAGGGCCTGGGTTGAGCTTTCCCACTGGCTGCTCCCAAAAAAAAACAAATCTGTGGGAAAACAACCCTTTTCACTTGGAACCTGATGTGCCGAGGGGTCCTGGTTAGGACCATGTTCCTCTTTTAAAGGGACCGGGCCCCGAACGCCAGGTTCCATGAAAATTGGTGGGAGGGTGGT